GTTGGCTGGGAAGCCGGCTTCCCAGCTGATCAGCATGGAGACGGCTGTTCGGCTGGCTCGATGTTGACTGGCCAGGAAGCCAGCTTCCCAGCCAATCAGCATTGAGCCGGCTTCCCGACCAATCAGGAAGCCGGGAGGCGGGTCATTTATAGCAGCCCGGCTTCTTGATTGCCCAGGAAGCCCGCTCTATGTTCTCCTATGGCACTGCCGGTGACCGGAAGTTCCGGTATAGGGGAAGGCATCGGAGTATTTGGACGAATGTACTAGTACACGCCCAAATACTCGGTATCGGCACCCATACTGATACTAGTTTTGGTATCGGTGCATCCTTAGTTTTTGGACTGTGGAAAGTAATCAAAGTACCTGGGGGGAACCTCCACAAACATGGGAAGAACTTACAAACTCCATCACGGTAGCCGATTGTAGAGGGGCAGCTTCGCTGAGCTCATCTCGGTGGATTGGTAGACAGCATGGTGGGTTTGCAACGATGTTGTCCTGGTTTCCATCTCCGCCAGAAAAGGTACCGACATGGAGTCTGTATGTCCTCCATGTACTCAGCTTCCCTCCTCTGCCCAGTAACATGCTGACTAACTGCAGCATGCTGGCATGGGACAGGCTTCTCTACTCAGGCTGTGGCTGCTTTCTAAAGGAAATGAACTGTGAGAATTTGCACTCATTTTGTTCTGGTGCAGCTGGAATGGATTTAGATTTAGCTGAGTGAAATGGAAAGTTCTTTTCTAGTTTGCATTGTAGCAAACCGCACAACATCCCTACACATCCCTACCTGCTACTGTCTGTAATAAAAGGCACACATGTGGCCCGCTCACTTCCTACCTCCTGATTGGGGACTGGTAGAGTCTTCCTGCTATGATCACATGGCCAGTCCCAAAGTTGGTGGAGTTCACACAGAACTGAACATAGGGATGGTGGGAGCCCCTCATAATGAACACAGCAAGGGTACAGACCCGGGAACTCAGTACAGGGATGATGGGGGGCCCTCATAATGAACACAGCAGGTGTACAGACCCGGGAACTCAGCAACAGGGATGGTGGGAGCCCCTCATAATGGGCACAGCGGGGGTACAGACCCGGGAACTCAGCACAGGGATGGTGGGAGCCCCTCATAATGGGCACAGCGGGGGTACAGACCTGGGAACTCAGCACAGAGTTCTCACTAAGGGAGTCTCTGAGAAGACACTATATGCGGATTCATTCTCCAGCATGGACTAAAGACTTCAAATATCATTTTTGGGTGGGCTGACCCCTAAGTGGTGACACCTCTGGAAGCTGAATGTTCCCAGAGACACCGCTGGAAGCTGAATGTTCCTACAGACACCTCTGGAAGCTGAATGTTCCTACAGACACCTCGGGAAGCTGAATGTTCCTAGAGACATCTCTGGAAGCTGAATGTTCCTAGAGACACCTCTGGAAGCTGAATGTTCCTACAGACACCGCTGGAAGCTGAATGTTCCTAGAGACACGGCTGGAAGCTGAATGTTGCTACAGACACCGCTGGAAGCTGAATGTTCCTACAGACACCGCTGGAAGCTGAATGTTCCTACAGACACCTCTGGAAGCTGAATGTTCCCAGAGACACCGCTGGAAGCTGAATGTTCCTAGAGACACCTCTGGAAGCTGAATGTTCCTAGAGACCTGAATGTTCCCAGAGACACCGCTGGAAGCTGAATGTTCCTAGAGACATCTCTGGAAGCTGAATGTTCCTAGAGACACCTCTGGAAGCTGAATGTTCCTACAGACACCGCTGGAAGCTGAATGTTCCTAGAGACACGGCTGGAAGCTGAATGTTGCTACAGACACCGCTGGAAGCTGAATGTTCCTACAGACACCGCTGGAAGCTGAATGTTCCTACAGACACGGCCGGAAGCTGAATGTTCCTACAGACACCGCTGGAAGCTGAATGTTCCTACAGACACGGCCGGAAGCTGAATTTTCCTACAGACACTGCTGGAAGCTGAATGTTCCTACAGACACCACTGGAAGCTGAATGTTCCCAGAGACACAGCTGGAAGCTGAATGTTCCTACAGACACCGCTGGAAGCTGAATGTTCTTACAGACGCCGCTGGAAGCTGAATGTTCCTACAGACACCGCTGGAAGCTGAATGTTCCTACAGACACCGCAGGAAGCTGAATGTTCCTACAGACACCGCTGGAAGCTGAATGTTCCTACAGACACTGCTGGACGCTGAATATTCCTATAGACACCGCAGGAAGCTGAATGTTCCTACAGACACTGCTGGAAGCTGAATGTTCCCAGAGACACCGCTGGAAGCTGAATGTTCCTACAGACACCGCTGGAAGCTGAATGTTCCTACAGACACCAATGGAAGCTGAATGTTCCCAGAGACACCGCTGGAAGCTGAATCTTGGGTGCCATTGGACCTTTCAACAGGACAATAATCCCAAGCTGACCTCAAATTCCACCAGGGCTTGGTTGCAGAAGTCTGGGAAGATTCTACAGTGGCCTTCACAGTCACCTGACCTGAACCCCATAGAAACTCTCTGGTGGGATTTGAAGAAGGCGAGAACCCAAGAATTTTATTAGTGAACTGGAGGCCATTGCTCATGAGGATCAGGCAAAGATTCCTCAGGAACGCTCCCAGAAGCTGTTGTCTGGCTATGCATCTCGTCTGCAGCAAAATGGTGTCCTACTAAGTACTAAGGATGCCTACCATGGAGGGGGAGAATCATTCAGAGACTGTAGAGGTCATTAAAAGTTACATTTTCAGTGAAATTTGGGGAAACCACTTGAAACATTCGTTGTATTGACCTATTTCAATTGCTTTTGTTTGATTCGTCCAATAAACCTGATTTGCAATGGGGGAAAGGGGGGGGGGGGGTTGAATAATTTTGATCAAAACTGTGCAATGC